TTTACGATACTGGAGTCCTACACTGGAGTGCATTAATATGTAGAAAAAAGAGAACAAATTAGCATGTTGGCTCTGGATTTTTTTGCTTAGAGCTAATACTTAAAAAAATGATTGAACGCTTCTTTCAAATTAATTTCAGCTTAAGTTTTGAAGTTGGCATCTTTCCTGGTAATGTCAGATTGTTGGCTCAAATTCTACCGGTTAGTTTTAGTGGCTCTTGGTGAGTAAAATTTCTTCATCACCTGATGGAAGCATAGTCAACGCTATGGAAGTACAATTTAAGTTTAAACCATAAGTGTCATGGCTGCTGTATAACCCAAACGTACTGTATAACTACAATACTGTGATGTAGCTCCACAGTGTCTGATGGTGGTTGCCCATTTTTTACTTTTTTGCATATTGGAGATGCATTAAGGAAACATGCTATGTTGAAGTGCTGGCTTCTCTGACAACAATGCAGCAGCCAGTATGTCCTCCTTCTAACTTTAGATTCTGCTCCTGAATGCTCTGGATTTGTTTGGACCAGAGAAGGTAGGCGCTTTTAAGACCCCCCCCACACGGCTGTTTTGGACGCCCCTCGTTTTGTCAGATATGAGAGCAGTTATCAGGTCAAACCAACAAGAGAAGTGGTTCAGATAGAAGTGATTGTACCCGACCTAAAAAGCCTCTGCATGTTTCTAATAAGCTCCACGAGCAGAAACGTGCTCAAACTAGGATCAATATTGGAGATGCTTTTGAAAAATGGAGAGAGGTTAGAACACAGAAAGGTTTACAGACCCATGCAGAGCTGGATAAACACTGAAGCTTCAGAGTCCACCACATGGTGACCTGAGTGAGCATGGACTCTAGAGAGGAGGGGGAGACAGCTCTCTACATGTTTAGAATTTAGACTGCAGTACCCATTTTAAACACTAGGAGTCATAGTTACATATCGCTCCTTTCAGGTGTACACACCTGCAGCCTCCTGGGAGAGTTTTTTTAATCTAAAGAAAGTTTGACAGAATTAGCACAGTAACACCAGGAGATTCTCTGGCTGCTAAACTTCTTGATAAGCAAGTTTTCATGAAGGCGGAGTTGGACCTATACGTTAAACATCTGCATAATGTCCATTGCAGTACAGTAACTACCTCCGCACAACACTGCCATCACACCCTGGAGACAAGTTTTGGCAGGCACAGCTGGATCTCCAATTGGAAGATGTGTGTGCATACATTAACATAACAATGAAGCCAGAGAGGTTTTAAGGAGAGAATAAAAAAGCACTGAAGATTTCCAAAGATCATTAAATGATGGCAAATCTCTATTTACAACATGTGTGCTTTACCTCAAGGTGAATACTGGGGCTAGGCATACATTTGCATGAATTAGCATGTTTAAGGAGTGTGGGGACGCTGGCTTTTTTTGTAACAAACAGACAAAGTCGATAAATCAAAATGAGGGCCAGCCGCTCAAGTGATTGTTGTGCCTCTCTGGTCACCGCCGAGACACAGGAACGAGTGTGCAGAGGGCTCCACAAAAGAGGGTGAAGCTCAGCGGTCCATGATTCCAAAATGAATATTTATAAGCAGGAGCCGGGTGGACTGCGCCTTAGGGGAAATAATTGGGTAGACAGGAAGAGACTGGAGCTACCATCTCTGTTCAGAGAGAGCAGAAGAAGTCATCGCAGTCAATATGGAGAGGATGCACTTCAGTAACGTCTATACGGCGCCCTCAGCTACAGGAGTTTGACGAGTGTTTTTTTAAAACTCGGAGCCAAATGTTGCAGTTGTAGTCGGAACACAAAGGTATAAATTCATGCACGGGATTAGTATTACCTGGTGACCTCTGGTAATCTTTAATAACTGCTGAGGATGTCTGTGTTTTTAATCCCGTGCAAAACGGCCATGTTTGTAATTAGCAAATTCCAGGGCAGTTTACTGACCTGATGATAGACGTCCTGTCTGAATCTGCAGCTCAGTCGTTTCTACAATTCTAGAATATAGAATATATCTTTATTGTCATGGCTATAAAAACAACGGAAAACAGTTTAGCAGCTCCTCCTCATTTGCAGCACACACACACACAGATGGACGGTAATATTGATTATGTAAAGACAAACAAAAATCACATCATAAGAAGCAAACAGTAGAAAGGCTCTGGAGAAGTGCAAAGCAGCTGCCAGGTTCTAGAAAAGTGCACAGTGCACAATTCTACAATTCACTTAGCAGACTCTTTTATCCAAAGCGACGTACATCAGAGAGTAAGAACAACACAAGCAAGGATCTAGAAAAAAGAACAATGTCAGTAAGAGCAAACGATCAGCTTTGAGTCTGATTGGACACACAGGTGCTGACAGGAAGTGACCAGAGGCAAAGCACAACATTTGGGGCGATATGTTTTTATTAAGAAGGTTTCTGCAGCTGTTTCCGCCCATTTTAGCACTCAAGAATAATGGAGGTGTCGGTGGACATTGTAAACAAAGGTTAGCTGCAAATTCAGCGGGTTAACCCTGCTGCACGGTATGAATATAAAGGTTTATAAACAGTACAGTATGGTCGTTGTTTGGCTGTTTGTAGACGTCTAAGTGAACTTGGTTTGGACGTCTTCTTCTTCTACTGAATATCCGGCAGGCTGTACTCTGTAAAGTGTGATGGTGTGGTCACATACTGTACAGCACCTCAATGTTTTCAAGTGACCTCCAGGCCTTACACATCCCGTGGGAATGGCGTTGAGAGCTAATTCCTAAAATGACCAGAGGTCCCCAGGTCATACTAGGGCTGAAGGTAAACTGGGAAAAAAACAACTTTATTCTATACATTAAGAAATAAAAAAACTGAGGTTGTTATGTAACTGGTGGTGGATATATGTCATAATGAGCAGTTTGAATGAAACCCAAACTAGCTAAACTATCACATTCAATCAATCAATCAGTTAAACTTTATTTATACAGCACTTTCAGACAAATTAAATTGCAGTTCAAAGTGCTTTACAAGAGTGCAGAAAAGTTATTGATGAAAAAGTAGTTTATAAAATCATTGAGAGACTAATGCACACCAATAAGAATTAAAAACAAATATATAAAAATGAAAAAATAAAATACACACATAAAAGCAATAAGATATTAAAATTAATACATAGGAGAAGAATCTTTAAAATTGTAGTAGGATAAAAAAGACAATACAATAATGTTAAGATTTGAATTTATATAAAGCACTATACGAATACATCAGAAGCTGTGCTAAGCTAATGGGAAGCCCCCATTAAACACCTAGCTGAAACCACAGCTTCCATTCCCTCCTCCCAGCGTAAGTGGACTCTGATAAAGTTGCTCCTTGATGCATTAATATCTCCTTCCTCCCGACTGGGCTGCAGGGGCCAACTTCCGAACAGCACCCAGCCATATCCTCGCCTGACATGCACTCTTTAATTATTTCTTTCTATGAGTGTTGGAGCGAAACGAGGGGAAGGGGAGAAGTGATGACATACCTCTAATGAACGCTTGAATAAATAATACTGCTGTCTAAGCTTAAGGCGTCTTCTACCCGCCTTACTGGGAGAGGAGAGGAAGCTGAGAGAGGTCGCTTATGAAGAAGAAGAAAAAAAAAACTACAGACGAGGTAGAGAACACCTGGAACTACACTGACCTCTGTTGTGTCTGATTCAGTGGCAGCTTGTTTACATCATCGCCCTCCGATTCTCTCTGCTACTCTCTGTCTCTCTCAGCGGTGGGCAGTCAGGATTAAACGCTACACAGACAAGTTTCAGACATTTATATGTTTAAGTTTACTCCGTGCGTGAATGAAGGAGCGAGGATCATTGAAGAGAAAAAAAATCAAAGCTGCTAGTCTGATTCAACACAACACTACGTAAGAGTCCTCGGGCAAAAGAAGAAAAATCGATGTTAAGATTAAAGTCGACATGTTGAGAAATAAGTTGAAATAAAACATAAAATTTAGGATGATTTTGTTTTTATTTATTTGAAGCGCAAGTTGATGAAATATTCATATAACTTTTCCAGCTGACATTTTTATTTATTTTATAATAATTATTATTAATATATTAATAATAATATTACACAATGATTTTTTGTCACAAAATCCCAAATTAAAGAACAATACAGCCCAGACGTAACGTATCATGACATGCTTAGCTTTAATACTGACCCTTGTATCTTTATTTAATGTTTGTGTTTCACAAATTGTTGCCAGAACACAGCGCTGCTTTATTCTACACCCATTCCAACGAAGAAACCCAATCGCATTTTGTCTTCCGCTCTTTCAATATGTTTTTGGGCCGTGCACATTTTGTTCCAGAGTGAAATGATTCACCTGAGCAGCAGCTGGATGTTTTTACTCTTATGTGTGTTACTGTGTTTACGTGTGTGTGTGTGTGTGTGTGTGTGTACCAATTGTCCTTCTCTGTGGCTGTTTCTCTACTTATCAGAGGCAGTGTGAGATTGAGGGCCATCACCCGCACTCTGTTGCCATAGTGAACACAGACGGAGGGCATCTTGAGTGACAGCTGATCCCACCACACACATTTTCTCCTGCTTCATGCTTCCTCCTGCTCCACTTTCTGTGCAGTCACCTCTTACACAGACACTCAGTCACTGACACATGTAACTGATCGCCTGTCTCGTCTCATGTCACCACACCGGGGTCCAGGACTCCCAAGACTCTGCAGTGCAGTCTTTTCTGAATTAAACTCAGTCACATACCGGGTGCTGATGTGATCCTCCAAATCCACCCTGTGATCCAAACGCACTTTTTTTAATGCATCTTGAATAAGACTTACTCTATTTACATGCACACAATGTTTGAACTAGTATTATGAGGCAAACAATACTCAAGCTTTACAACATCCTTTTTAAGTCTCTGGATTATAATTATCCATGTGATGTTCCCTGTCAGCTGGAAGTCTGCAGACATGTTTAGAACCATCAGGTGTGCGTGCATGCTGCTTTCAGACGCTGTCAGCTAATGTGCTTCTTTCTTTCCTTCCTTCACTTTGTGTTTGTGTAGATCGGGCAGCTGGTGTTTAAGGGGATGAAGCGCCTCAACAGGATCCAGTCTCTGGTGTTTGAGACGGCCTACAACACCAACGAAAACCTCCTCATCTGTGCTCCGACCGGCGCCGGCAAGACCAACATCGCCATGCTGACCGTCCTGCACGAGATCCGCCAGCACCTGCAGCCCGGCGGCGTCATCAAGAAGGACGAGTTCAAGGTGTGGCGCTGACACACAAACGCACAGTACACGGGTTATTATTATACCTGGACTGACTGTTTCCTCTTTCACTCATCTTTCTTGATTGCGATTAATCTCATGTTATTTTGTCCCTTCAGGCTCTCCGTAGATAGTCCTCAGTGTCTCCCTGTAGTCTCACTGATGTAAAAGAAGACACTGCTGCATCTTTGAACCTCTCATTTCACTTTAACAAACTCTCAGACAGCTCAGCTGACGACTCCAAAGTAATATCCACCTTATGACATCACACATTGACCTCATGACATCACACATTGACCTTATGACATCACACATTGACCTTATGACATCACACATTGACCTTTGTTATTCCTTTGAGCTGTTTGACCTCAGTGTGGGATCCCTAACCACTTCCTGTTTCTGGGCTTAACTTCATGTCCTAACCTTCACTCTACCAGAAGGGCCTTACTGTATTTCAAAATAAAAGCACACAGCAAGTAGCTTAAGATAGCACAAAAAAATAAAAGCTTCACAATTTTTATTTTTAAATGTAAAAGAATTTCAAACATACTGTTCAGTTAAAATGTGATTACAACCCTAATGGAAATTCAATTTTACATGATTTCACCAGGTTACATAACCATCTCTCAGCGGATCTCCCCCTGAAAATTCAGATTGTGAATTTATTTCCTGTATTCTCGTGTATTTTTATGACGTAATTAATGGTGTAAGTTTTCTTTATATGGAATTATCAATGGTCTACAAGTAATGTGTACCCCGCTGTAGTGTCCTATTGTGACTCACGCTCACATAAATAATGTAGACTTTCAAAAGGCTTTCATGTAGGCTCACACACACACACACACACACACACACACAGTGGCAGCCAGTGACAGTGGACACTTTTCATACATCACCATTAAACTTCAGCCCGTGCAGGTGGCTGGCGTCATATTTCTCAATAAATTGTGATTTGTGCAGGTTGCCAGGGAACAAATGATCCCGCCTGTGTTTGTTCATTTATCACCACAGTGTCCTTCCAGTCCCACTCTGCTGTACTGCCTCCCTCCCCCTCCCCAACCACACCTCCATCCTCTACACCCACCCTATCTGTTCTCTGTCCCATTCATCTCTTTACCCCCCTCTCTCCTCTCTCTGCAGATCATATACGTGGCTCCGATGAAGGCCTTGGCAGCTGAGATGACTAATTACTTCAGTAAGCGTTTGGAGCCACTGGGCATCGCTGTTAAAGAACTCACTGGAGACATGCAGCTAACCAAAGGAGAGATCCTGCGAACACAGGTACACACACACACACACACACACACACACACACACACACACACACACACACACACTGAGACTCTGTTATGTCTCAAAATAAAAGCTCAAACTAAGAGAACATAAAGTATTCCTTCCTCCAGCATCCCTCTCTGCAGCTCTTGTTCAGCGTGTTCTCTAGCACCCCCATGTGGATTAAATTATGACATTTTATTAAAGGGTGCATCATCATTCATCTTCTAAATGCATCAGTAACAATTGAACTTGTGACTTTCCACAAATGTAATAAACCACACGCCTCATTTGATATTTGCTGAGTTGAATTTATGCCTGAGTACAGAAGAATGATGACAAAACACTCAAGTGTGTGTCAACATGTGATATCAAAATACCACCAAGATTGTCTGCTGTTAGCAGACAGTAATGTTTTCATTCACTGTCTCATATTTTAGTTTTAAAAAATCTAATCAAAACACTTTACAGTCTTATTCTTTAAAGGAAGAATGTGCAACATGTTACACATAAATAAATCATAAAGTCTGTCCTGTGTAAATGTGTCTCTGAGTCCTGACTGTCTACAATGAGGGAGAAGCTCGAGTCCCGCTGGCTGTGTTGTTGTCAGAGCCGTGTTTACATGGACGGGACGGCCGGCTCCTCCCCTTGTGTATAAAAGCTGTTTTAGTCAAGAACTAGAGAGAAGAAGAAGAACATACTCACTGATTATTTGGATGTTAGTAAGAGTTTTTAGATCACGCTCATTCTGTGTCAGTTTACATGAAATGTGAAGAGCACTAACATTAGCATGCTAACACAACAATGCAGGACACAGGTGATTCAAGCCGAGGACAATTTTGGAGGTTACGACATCTCGTGAAATATGAACTTTCATTTATACATTTTGTGCAGCTGGTTGCTGTCGATGTCTTTCTGCACTCTGAAGTCGTTTTCACACTTACACAAAACTCCTGCATGTGTGAACGCAAACAGCAGACTTTCTGTCAGTCTGACTTTAATAGAAATCTTTACTGCCAGCCCCATCGGGTAAATAATCAAAAATTATCATGTGTTGCTTTGTCCACCACCTCCACAGTGATCTTTTTACCTCATGTCTATCCCCCAGAGACAGCCAACCCCCTCCCCGTCAAGAAACAGAAAACATCCCAAAACTCCTGACAAAGCTGCAGCCAGGGAGTGTTTTCATGTGTGCGTTATTTAAATGCCCACATGACATAAGTGCAGATTTATTTTTTGATGATTGGCAAATGAACACATTTTTTTGGGCACCGAGGAAAAGTGATGGAGATAAACTGAGACAGCAAATGAAGCTACCAGGGTAATCGATTAATGGACAACAAACCCTGAGCCAATGTTTGCACAATGTCAGCAGCTCTTTCACACGTTCTTCATTTGATCTTTCCAAAAAACGGACCCTCACTGTCCTAGTAAGAATTTACATTGTTAGTGTCAGAGATTTGATGGGAAGGCATTTATTAATTTTAGATATTAACGCTCATCTTGAACACTTTTATTTGATCCTGAGGTAAAACTCACTGGATCTATTTCAAGCTTACAACATACTGTTCACTGTTCCCTTTAAGCTCCACTGTTATGTTCTCATCACTGTATCACTGATGTAGAGTATTAAAACTATAACATTAGAATCTGATGTTATTCTTATTATGATTTTATTACCTGTCTACTTAGAAGCCTGAGCATTGATGTTACTTTTCTGTAATTCTACAATTCACTTAGCAGACACTTTGATCCAAAGAGTCGTACATCAGAGAGAAAGAACAACACAAGCAAGGATCTAAAGAGGAGGAGACAGAAAGTGCAAACAAACAGCTTTAAGTCACACGGGTGCTGACAGGAAGTGACCAGAGGCAGATCACTACTTCGACAGCTGCTCTTCAGAATTCCAATCAGCATAGAAAACATCTTAAAATTGGCATTTTAAAAATAAAAGCCCATTAATAATCAACCAATAATATCAGTAAGTGTGTGTGTGTGTTTATAAAGAGCTGGGTCTTCAGCTTTTTCTTAAAGGTGCAGAGGGACTCTAGACCTGGATGAGAGAGTTTACTTTTCATTTTCAATTCACGTCCACTTGCCAAAATAACAATGTTTACAGCACAGTACAAGCACACGCTAGTGGTTTTACATTCATCGTCAGGTTTCTATGCCTCAAGAAAGTTTCTGTTAATTGTTACGTTCCCCAAGATGGCTAGGGGGTGAGGGGAGTAGGGAACAATAAATTAAAACCCAGGGAAAAGAAAAAGGAGCTAAATATAAGCAAAGTTAAAAGGGATTTATTAACAAACCAAAGCAAAATGTGTAACACAAAACAAGCTTCTTCTAAAAAAACACCAAACAAAAGAGAAGGGAATCTATCTTAAACACAATTCAAAACTAACAATCAAGATGTCACTGTGATTAGCAAAGAGCAGAGGGACACCAATTAACTTATAATTCACTCTGACAGAACTTTAACTATAGTTTGAAGCAAATAAAAGTAGCCCAATAGGGGGCGCTGGATAGCCTAGCGGTTGTGTTGCGTGCCTTGTGTATAGAGGCTGAAGTCCTCATCGCAGCGTCCCTGGGTTCCAATCCAACCTCGACTCTTGGCTGCATGTCGACCCCCACTCTCTCCTCCCACTCTCTCCTGTCCTGTAAAGAACAAAGACAGTAAGGTGTTTGAAATCTTACAATAAACATGCTGAAGGGAAGGACGAAGTTGTTTCTGAAAGGCTGAAAATGTTTTAAATCTATTTTTTTAAGATGTTAAAAGACATTTTGAAGGGGACAGAGCCTCTGACTTGAAGACAGGATCAATAGTTTACTTGTCACTGTCATGTAGACCGTCTCAGGTGTAAAGGTAATATCTCTTTACCCTCGAGCACACATGTAAAGTGTTCCCGCCTCTTCCTTCGATAAGCTCACCTGTCAGTCAGTCAGTCAGTCAGTCAGTCAGTCGCCTCCACACTTCCCTGTGGGATCTTATGAAATATACAGCAGGAGGTAAGAAAAGTAGCCAGACGCTCTTCACTTTCCCCACATTCTGCAGAATCGCTGATGGATCACTCAAGGTTTCGTGTTCAAAGCAGCACTTCTGTCTCTGCACTTAGTAGTAGTTACCATGGATACGGCGTAGTAAAGGGCTTATTTTTTTATCATCACAGGTTTAATCATTTTCTATTTAAAGGTACAGTACGTAGAATGTTTACATTAAAATACCTTTAATTGACATTTAATTAAAAATAACTAAGCCTGTTATATCATTTTTTGCTGAGTTCTTACATTACCTCAAATATTTCCAACAGTTATCAAAACCAGAGAAATCTATAATTCTATAGTTGTAACGGGACGTGTCTTGCTGGCAGCGGCCATGATGAGCCGCCCAGACAGACACAAAATGTTTATCGTTGCCATGGAAACACTGGATGTTACTTAAAATCTTGAGAATTTCCAAATCCTCTTGGCGACTTTTTTTTTGTCAAGCGCTACTAGCAACAAATCTAGCGACTTTTTCTGGTGTTTTGAGACTTTGACATGAAAGCACGTATCGCTCTGCAGTTACTGTCCTCAACATGCAGCGGGTGCTGTCGTAAGCCCCTCCCCTCGCCCAAAGCACTCACAGGCGGCCAGTCTTGCAGTAGCCTCGCGCAGCAGTCTCAGCTGCAGTCAGAGCAGAGGTGAGAACCACTCACACCACTCCATGTACAGAAAGCTGCTGTAATGTTGCTGTATGTGCTGATAAAAACGGCATGTAAATTATACTCGGATATCACTCCCATGATTCCCCGCCAGCCTTTGTTATCGTTTTGATTGAGAGCGGATTTTACATCCCGTGCATTTAAAGCATCTTTAAATTATTGTATTAATTTAACTACATCTATCTAATGACACCGACACAGTTCCACCCACAATAATTGGACTAAATCCCACGCGCGCTGTCCGGCTGCCTCAAAGAATTACCACATCACCAATAATAATAATCACTTTATGTGTGAAGCACCTTTAATAACAGACGTGTACAAAGTGATTTAACAGACAAAGCAAAGGCAGGAAGTCAGGAATATAAAATGATGAGAGTCAATAATCAAACAGAAGGTGATTATATTATGCAAAAGTAAAACATCAACAAGAATAAAAGTGAATGAAGGTCGAAACAAAAGGTCAGAGAAGGTGTGGTAACAGGTACAGGTACATGCATGTCGTACCCAACATCATGAGATCTGTGTCGCTCAGTTTGCAATAAACATTTATGATTTCAGAAATGAAACCGTCTGTAGGAGGCTTTAGAGATTCAGAATACTTTATTAATGCCAGAGGGGCAAATTCAGTTTCACAGCCTACCAAGTCATTGGGTAAGCCATGCATAAGTTTCTTTCTCTATTGTAAAAAGAGGATGGGTCTTTTTTTTTTAATGAGGCCAAAGAAAAAAGGAAGTTAAGCTGCGGGTTAAGCACATATTTAGAGAGAGAACCTGTCTCCTGCAGCTCCGAGCGAGGCGCAGGTTGGTAGATCCAGCCCTGGAAGACTGAAATATGAAGACTGAGAGAAACATATCTGTTAAATCCAAAAGTGGAGAGTTGGATTTGAGAGATTGCTGTGCTTAGAGTTAAAGTTTATAAGCCTTGTGAGACTTATGAATACAGAAGGAACGGGTTTTTGGTTGGGAGTGTGCAGGGGGGTGCTGAGGTTTATTCCTCTGAAATGAGGCCAATTCCAGCTAATCTGAAGGTGTATTAAAGTTGCATTTCTATCATGTCGTGTGAAAAGATTTCACAAAGAGAATGATTAGTCAGATCTCCTGCAGCTCTGCAGCTCCACTCTCTCTCTCCTCACTTAGCGTTAGCGTCAGTGCGTTTACACGGGAGCAGTGCGGGGGGAAAGGGCTGTCCGCATTTAAACAGGCCCCCCCCGAGTGATGCCACAAACTGTAACCTTGGCCTGTCTTCTGTCTCTCCTCAAAGTCCTCGCTGCCTCTTTCATCACGCCCTTTTGATGTACAGGCTGGA